TGGTCCCTCTGAAGCTTGATGCGGTGCCAGCCCTGTGAGAGCAAGGGGCTCTCACAGGGCTGGGGGGGTGGGGGGATATCCCGAGGCTCTGGTGGGAGCCATGAAATGCCATTTATGCATCTAACCTCTGTTTGTGGATTGTCACATAGCGATAACAGACCCTGAAAAGAGTGTCCAACTGGTAGAGAAATGTTGTCCACGGCCTGTTTCAATCCAGCACAAGCTCTCTGCTAAAGGGGGAGAAATGCCTGAGTAGGTGCTCGGCAGACTATCTGCCCCGGCTGCCCAATGCAAGCAGGGGGGAAGGCAGGGATCAGGCCCTACAGGAGCAGTCATTGAGGATGGAAGGGATTTAGAAATCTTTTTATTTTAAGAGGCGGACACAGTAGTTCAGGCACAATACACTGGATTATCAGATTATGGCCTAATCTTCCAGGCTGCTTTGCTAGTGCTCTTCAGTCCTGAACCTGAACCCTTAGCCTGGTCCTGGGGCCCCCATGCAGCTCAGCCGGTGCACCTTAACCTGACCCTTCAGCACCCAGTTCTGATGCTCCCCAGCTCTGTTGTTTGTTTGTGCTGCAGTAGCACTGGGGACCCCAGGCATACATCAGGGCCCCAGTATTTTGGGCACCGCACACACACAATGAAAAGGTGAGCTCCTCCCTGAGGATCTTACAGCCTAAGTACCTTCTCGACCCTGCAGCACCCCCTGCTATGTCAGCTCTGCCCCCACACTTCTCCGCTCTGCCCCACCCCTTACATTCAGCATTCCTGACGCTCCCGTCCTGCCTTTGTGGAGCTGCTGTTTTCCCTGTACCTGTGTGGTCAGCGTTGGCTCACAAGCGAGATGTTGGGTCTGTCTGATTCCTAATGGTGCATGTGTTGGCATGGCGTGCGTCTCCTGCTACGGAGGTGCCCAGGGTTAGCATGGGGCCTCAGGACTGGGCTAACTACGGTGCTGTTGGTTGGGATTGAGGTGCACCGGCAGAGTTGTGAGAGGGGTGTCCTGGAGCTGGGCTAGCAAGGGGTGCTGCAGGTTAGGATTGAGGTGCATGGGTGGAGCGGGGTGGGAGCCCAAGTGTTGCGCCAGCAGGGGGTGCTGCAGTTCAGGTCTGAGGTTGCATGGGCAGAGCGCTGGGGGGGAATCCGCAGGGCACTGCAAGGCAGGACTTGTGCTGCATTGGCAGAGCTGCGTGGGAAGCTTGCGAGGAGCCTGCCTCGCTATCTCTCTCCTATCAGCCTCCTCGGCCAAGGTTCACTTTAAGGGCTCCCTACGCTCTTCCCAAGCTTCTCCAAACCGCTCCCTTTGTCTCTCTCACCCACTCCCGACTCCATGACTCCTCACGCCGCCCCCCTGCGCTTGGAGCGCTTTCCCAGTCAGCGTTTGCCAGGCCCACTCCCTCCCCACCTCCCGAGTCCCACCCTTCTGAAGCATTCTGGCTGTACGCTTACACTGAACCCGCTCGCCCCTTCAGCTGGGAGGGCAGGGCAGGGATTCTGTTAACTCAGCAGGTCGTGCCCATGTTGTGAGAGCAGATTCCCTGGGTCCTTTCTGGCCCTTGCTCAGCCAATGAGCTGCAGGATATGGGGAGGGACCTTTGCCTGGTACTGCCTCCTGCTGTCGGGGTAGAGAACTGCTTCCAACTGTCCTTCCCCTCTCTCAGGTGTTTTACAACGGCGCCACCGTGAAGCAGGTGGATGTCCCCACGCTGAGCGGCTCCTTCGGCATCTTGGCGGCTCACGTTCCCACCTTGCAGGTCCTTAAACCCGGAGTTGTGACGGTCTTTACCGAGGACGGCACAGCGACCAAGTATTTTGGTGTGTGAAACTGGGTGTGGCCCTGAAAGTGTGAGAGGAGGCAGCAGGGAGGAATTGTTGTCTGGAAAGGACTCCCCTTCAGGGTTACCGTGGGGGAGAATCTTTGCTTCACCATTGATCCTGGGAGCCTGGACTCCTGGGTTCTGTCTGTGGGTCTGGGAGGGGGCTGTTGTCCAGTGGATGGAGGATTGGGAATCTGGACTCCTGAGTCCTATTTATGGCTCTAGCACTGTGTGAGTCTGGGCAAGCCACATCATCTCTCTGCCTCAGCCCTCCTGTCAGTAAAATGGGGCTAATCTCTCCTTCCTGGGGCTGTGGAGGGAGTCTGGCAGGCTTACGAAACCTCCGCGAAGTGCGTTGAGGTGTTCAGCTGGAGGGTGCTGTAGGAGTCCTACGACTGGGTGAGTGGCAAGTGAAGATTCACCACTAGAACGTGCGCCAGTCCCCTGGAAGGTCCAGGTAGTCTGTCCTGGTGACTAGAGTGCCTGACGCCTGGGGTGGTGAGAGCTGACAACAGACCTGACCTCGCAATGCTGCTGCGGGGGAGGGCTAAGAATGTGTAACTCCACTAGGTACAGACGGGGGTACCAGCCATTGTGACTCCTTCCCGCCACCGTTATCCTGTGACCTGGCCCCACAAACCAGGCTTAGCTCACAGCCCTGCCCTGTACCTGGGGCCCGTGGGCCGCCCGCCGCACCCGCTGACTCAGTCCCCCTGCTGTTGTGTTTGCAGTGAGCAGTGGCTCCATCACAGTCAATGCTGACTCCTCGGTGCAGCTGCTGGCAGAAGAGGTGGCCACTTTGGACATGCTGGATCTCGCTGTGAGTACCCTGCAGTCACCTGCCTGCGCTGGGTGGCGGGGAACAGGCTGGGCTGGGCCCCGCTTGCTAGCAGGGCAAAGAATCTGGCTATAAGCTGAGGTCTGCTGTGGGAGATTCACTCCTTATTCCTCCTGCGTGGGCTGCCTGTCTCAGGAGCTTCGCAGATCAAGGTCTGTTTCCTCACCCTGAGCTCTCCACCCACTGCCCAGGATCATAGAGTTAAACCTTCCTTTAAAGGATACAGGGGAAGAAGCTGAGTTAAGCCCTCCCTGCAAACTGCATCCCTTTGTCCTGGAGTGTTTAGTGATCTTTAGCAACACCACACCAGCTTCTTTTAATCATGGGGCCCTTTAATAGGCTGTCCAAATGCCCAGGCTGGCCTCAGACCCACGGACCAGGCCTCTCTACACACTCTGCATATGGATGAGTGCCGGTGTGCAGGACTGGCCTACGCTGCAAAGGCTGCACAAATGGACTGCTGGGGTTTGCTCCAGCTTCCAAGGACAAGCCTCTCTGGTGCCCTCCCACGAAGGTTTTTAGTGCTGCTGGCTCAGCAGTTGCCTATTGTGGCGTTGCTGAGTACGCCCTTACCCTTAGTTACTGCAGCTCTACTGACTCTTTAAAGTGCCAGCTGCCCTGGGGAAAGGGGCCTGGCTGACTGACCTGGGGTAGCAGGTCCTGTCTAACCACTGCCCTGGGACACCCCAGACAATGCCCCGACTGAGACGATCACTTGGTCTGTCTCCATGGCCTGGGCTGAGACAAATTTGTTCTTGTAGGTACTGTGGGCTTGACTTGAATGAGCAGCGTGTGGCATAGAGGTGTCCCTGAGCACCCCACCCTGGGCACCCAGTGCCGGTGGGGGGCCCAGCTCGTTAAGTCCAGCCCCCGTAGTAACAGCCACCTGCTCAGCTCAGTGATGCACTTCAGGGTGTAGCTGTTCCAGCCCCAGAATCCCCGGCGGTGCTGGAGGCAGCTGTGCTCTGACGTACTTCCCTGCTCCTAATCCCCCGGTGACCGCTCTCCCCCTTGCTTGTGTGTTTACAGACTGCTAAGTCGAATCTGGATAAGGCCTTATCCCAGCTGGCTGCAGCACCTGACGAAACGGCTAAAGTAGAAGCCCAGATTAACGTGGAAGCCAGTGAGGCCCTTGTGAAAGCCCTGGAGTAATTAGGGTAAAGCGTCTTCTGTAACATGGCCTGGTGGGGAGCTCCCGATCTTTGTTGTTAGCTCAGTCCTCTTTGAAGCCCAATCTAGAAGGACTGAGGCTGCGCAGGGCTACTCAGCCCGATGGGAGATTGGTGTCTCCACAGCCAAGCTTCCCTGACTACCCTGATGGAGGAGGGAACCCACTTGCAACCAGAGGCAGACACTAAGGCTAGGTCTACACTACAGCGGGGGGGTCGACCTAAGATACGCAACTTCAGCTACGTGAATAGCGTAGCTGAAGTGGCGTATTTTAGGTCGACTTACCTGGCTGTGAGGACGGCGGCAAGTCGACCGCTGCCGCGCCGCCGTCGACTCCACTACCGCCTCTTGCCGCAGTGGATTTCCAGAGTCAACGGTAGAGCCATCAGGGATCGATTTTATCGCGTCTTCACTAGACGCGGTAAGTCGATCCCCGATAGACCGATTGCTACCTGCCGGATTGGCGGGTAGTGAAGACGTGCCCTAAAGCAGTTGGGGGTATGTCCCTGTCATAGCGGGCCTCTGCCATTAGATGGCAGCATGGGCCAGGTCAGTCTCTGATCAGGGCTGCAGGGCAGGAGAAGGTGCCTGGTTAGCAAATTACTAGAAGGTAGCTAATGCCTGGACACGGTCGGTTCCTGACCCAAGCTGGAGTCTCCCCATTTATAGTGGCACGCTGGTTAATATGTCACTGCTATTAACAGACTTCGCTCTGGGGTCTGAAGGCTTCTAGATATAGCCTCAGACCCGGCAGGGCAAATTCGGGGCTGGGGCGGTACTGGGAGTCTGACTTACAGGTGGGGGGTATGGTAGGCTGCACCATCCTAAGCTAAATAGCTACACATGCCTTCCCCCCACCCCCATTTTGACACTGATCTCCTCAGTGAGAACGGATTGCTCCTGTCTCTGGTGCTGCCCAGTGCTCCCTGAGCTCAGTGCCCGATCCTCCCAGCATATGGCATGCTGGGCCTTAGCGCTTGGCTGAGTGCCTGCTGGGTTTGAAAGGGGCTGCACTGACAGCCCCAGAGACCACCTGAGTGGGTATAAGAGGGCAGGCTGCCCAGCTGTTAGCCCCTGGTCATCTTCATGGATGAGAGGAGAGCTTGGCCTGTATGGCCGGTTTGCTCCTTGTCCGCTCTCCTGGGGCTGTCAAGGGTGCTGGTGGTCCTCAGTGCCTTGTTTCACATAGGCCCCAAAATGCCCGTCGGTCATGAACAACTTCCAAGCCTTCCTCTTTGCTCCCTGAGCCTGGATCAAACCTTTCTACTTGTCTGTATTGCAGGGTGTCGATGTGCAGAAGCCATGGACTGGGGCTGGGCCCGGCTCCCCTCCCCCCACCACCCGTTTGTACAGATGGCATGAGACAGATTCGCTTTGATCAATTAAAGAAAACAAAAGCCCCAACTTGCTGAGTGTGACCTTCTTCTGAGGCAGGTTCAGCCTGTGGAGCGGAGCCCATGGTTTGCACAGTGCTCCTCTGCAGGTGACGTGCCAATTGTGGGGATGTTCCTGCCCCAGCTGTGGTCTGGCCGGGTGAAGCTGGGAGCGGTCGCCCCAGACGTGTGTAGGGTTGTAAGGGGTCCCCTTAGGCGGTTGCATCTCCATGGAGAACCATGCTGAAGGTTTCTTCTAAGTCACATTCTTCACCCCCTGGCACCAGCGTGTGGAACAATCTGTCTGAATGGAAGGATTAGTGCTGTGCAAACCTAGGTGCCAACGGCACAGTGGGGCAGCCTTAGGGCTTGGCTACACTAGGCAGCTTTTACCGACAAGGCTGTATCAACACTTTTGCCAACAAAATACTTTCAGCCCCGTGTCGGCAAAACTTTTCTTTCGCGGGGGGGCTTTTTTAAGTACCCACGAAAGACAAACGTTTTGGCAACAACTGCGCAGTGTAGACGTACCCTCGGATCTTATCTCCGTCTGCGTAGTAATGGCTCGCAGGGAGTTAAAACCAAAACACTGCTCCTCACCTGCCCTGATCACCAACCTCAGCTCTCCCTGTGAACTGGTCTGCTCCATACGCCTGCAGGGATTCCTGTCCGTGCTCCTGCTACTGTCTGCATTTCCGGGAGGAGCGTGCCGCTGCCCAGAAAGTGTCTGACCCCCTCCCTGGAGCGTGCTGCTCCATCTTCCCCGGACGCTAGGCATCCTGCGAGTGAGACAAGATCTTCCCAATCCTCCCAACATGGGAGCTCTGAGCTGGCTTCATTCCCAGATTGAGAGAAGGAGAGAGATCCTTCCTGAATGGCCTGGGAGTACACAATATATTTACATGTATTGGGGTGGCGGTTGGCCGTGGCCCATCCCTGGGATTTTTGACCCCAATATTGGTGAAGGCTCCTTAGCTCGGGCCAGTGTCTGAGGCTGGGTTAGGGCTGTGCTCAGCCTTCCAGCTGGGAGTAGGAGTGAGCGGCTTAGTGTCTCTCCCCTCCCCCCCCAAGGGCTAGCTAATCCCCACCTGCCGCCTCAAATGGCAGAGAAGATGAGCATCACCTAGGGGGAGGAGTGGGCTGGAACAGAGGGGAAAATCTGGTTCTCCTCCTTCCTGTCCCAGAGCCTGTGCTAGGAAGCCCGTCTCACAAATGGCACCATCTGCCTCCAGGGTCTTAATCTGATACTGACCTCCTAGCTCTTTCGGGGGAAGGATCGCAAAGCCCTCTCTCGGTGGGGTCTCGCAGCCTCCTGGGTGGTCGCGGAGTATCCTGAAGCCCACTTGAGGCACAGAGAGGGGAGTGACTTGGCCAAGGACGCCCACACAGTCGGCCCTCCCTCTTCCTGTGCTCTCATCACCTTTTCTCAGTCTTTTGCCACCCACTGGAGACCATCCAACTCATGTCGCTGGTGATCTCCATTGGCTGCGACTCTAGGAAAGGTCAGTGGGCGGCAGAGTTAATGGCTCACTCCCCTCCTTGCAGTGTGCCCCCCACTGTCACTCTGTGCAGTAATGCCGCCTGAGTGTAACATGGTTATTTTCAGCACTGCCGCTTCTTCTCCCCCTCCCTCCTCTTTTTTCCCCCCTCATCAGAAATAGTGCCGATGGTGGTAAATTCCTCACTGTCGTTTATTAAAAGCCTCTGAACTTCCCTGTGCTGCTACAGTGCGTTTTCCCTTCCCTTTCGCTGCTCCTTTTAAAGGTCAGGCATTGCGCTGTGCATAAGCAAAGCCTCAAAGTCAGAACGAGTGCTAATTAAAATGTCTTGGGAGTAACTGGGGCTGGAAACGCTTTGATTCCTCTTCCGCGCTCTCTCCCCTGCTTCTATTTGTGGCTCGTGTGTGCCTGGCTTGACGCATGCCTGCATCTCTCCTTCCAGCGGAAGGTGGCTTTTTTTTTTTCTTTTCTTTCCGTCTAATGGAAGAGCGTTGGCGAGGCCGGGAAGCTGTCGAAACGGCCAGCTGCTATTTTTAGGACTGGAAAAGTGTCTCCATCAGCAACCCCTCTAGCTATTCAGAGCGTCTCTTGCCAGCTCCGGCTAGCAATGGCCAAGGTGCAGAGTGATGGTGGGCGCAGGGGCTGTCTGAGATAGAGACGCAGGGAGGTGTGTGCCTCTCTATATGGCAGAGGATGGTCAGCGTCCACTTCTGCGCTTGCCCTTCTCTTGCGTAAAACGGTGGCTGCTGGGAATTGTAGTCTCCGCAGATTGCACTTCTGGGCAGCTGCGGTTTGCTCCATTCGTCTTATCAGGCAAGCGACGCCCTCCCAGGAACCTGCCCATCCAGGCCCCAGATCCCTCTGCGATGGCTGACAATGGAGAGGGGGAGCTGAGAACTTCCGTGCTGGTCCAAGCTCCTTGCTCCGGGTGTGTGGTCATTAGGATTTTAGCGCACCATGATCGGGCTGCCCTGGTAAACATTGGCCTGGGCTGCATGGGGGCTGGAAGGCTCTCAGCCCTTAGAGCAGTACTAGATCCGTGTGCTCTCTTGGTTGTCCAGAAATACTTCCGGCCACATGGTGTGTACATCCCACCTTGCTCACTACTGCCCCCTGCGGGCAGTGCTGGAAGCTGTCTTCCCATAAGCTGGTCACCTTGCATCTTGCAAAAGTGTCCCCCAATCCCTCTGTCCCCTGGGAGTAATTGCCACCCCTCTGCCCCTTCCCCCATAGCCCGCTGCCCCCCTCGCCCAGGCTCTGCTAACCTGTCTCTCCTTCCCCATCAGCACTGATTGCCAGGATTGTTATGTATATAGCAATGTTATCCTGTCCCCCAGCTTATTCTGAGCTGAGCCTTCTGCCCACGTAGGAAGCCAGCATCTGTCCCATCCTTTTGCTGCCACGGGCTCTGGCTGCTGCTTGCCCGGAAGCTACGGCTGATTTCCTCTGCTCAACGATCTCGCTTGTATCTTACCCAAACTAAAATAACCTGCCCTAGTGCTTTGGAGTCTAAACTGATCGGGGGCATAGCAGGGAATTTAAAATCTCCTTCCTTGTACATGCTTGGATCATGGGACAGAGAGGTGGGGGCAAAAGGCCCTTTGTGGTGGGCCCAGCATGTTCATGGTTCTCTTCATTTCCTGCTGCTGACTTGCATTAAAGGGTAACTCCTTCCCCATGGAGTCAAGTGCCGGGGTGCCCATAAGACAATTTGGCTGGGACGATGTGATCCATGCTAAGGAAAAGCTGGGGAGTCCTTGTTAGAAGTGGTGACACCTTGCTTTGAAGGCGGCGGCTGCTGCTGGGGGTGGGGACATGGGACTCCTTTGTTTCTAGGAAGGCAGGAGGTAGCACAGGCAAGGTGCTTATGATAGCTGTAACTCCAGCAAAATATGGCTCAGCTTCTCCTGGGATGGGCATGAGGACAAGGGGAAGGGATCAGAGGCTGGTCCAAGGGAGAAAAGGGGCACCCCTTGCTGTCAGCCAGCGTGGCCCAAGGGCTAGGGCACTGAACTGGGACTTGGGAGACCTGCGTTTTAGTCCTGCCTCTGGCCAGCTGTGTGACTTTGTTCAAGTCACGGCCCTGCTCTGCCTCAGTTTCCCCATCTGTAAAAGATTGTAGAGCACTGTGGGGTGGATAGATGAAAAGCATCGTTGTTATGGGGCGGGTTGGAATTTCTTTGCCTTGGGGGCGTTACGTGGCCCTGGGTGGGCATGAAAGGGGAATGTTAATGAGGAATGAAGGGCTGACTGGAAAAAAGCCTGAACAGCGGTGGGGGCGGGGCGGCTGGGGAGGAATTTATTGCACGCTGGAGCAGCGGGGAGAGCATGTCATTTATTTCCATTAGGGGCTTTCGGTCATGACTTGCATATCTCAGCCAGATGGATGGCTGCTGCGCAGGGATGGGGGAGCCAGCGGAGAGGGAACGGTTGGAAACTGAAACATCAGCGTCTCTTAAGGGCCTGGTGGCAGCCGATTTGGCGTCTCTTCTTGCAGGGAATAATTTACAACAGGGGGTGGATCCTGCTAGGGAATGTTTCCAAAGCACCCGATTTCCCCACCCCTGTAGTTGGGAGCGACGGTGAAGGGGGAAGATATTTCCCTGGTTCTACCCAGATTTCCAATGCAGGGAAAAGGCTGAACAGGCAGAGCCGTTGCTCTGTGGCTGCGGTGGTTTTAGCAGAACTCTCCAGTTGCTGTTGGATTGACTCCTCTACGTTCTCCCCGCACCCACCATGCTCTCCGTGCTAGCCCTGAATGCTGCCGCGTCCTGTCATTCTTGTACGTTTCAGAAGGGGACACCCTCTCTGACCCAGTCGCCCCATTGCAAAAATATATTTTAGAACTGGAAAAAGTACAGAGCAGGGCAGCAAAAATGAATAGGGATATGGAACAGCTTCCATATGGGGAGAGATTAAAAAAACTGGGACTGTTCGGCTTAGAAAAGAGACGACTGAGGGGGGATATGGCAGAGGTCTCTAAAATCACGAGTGGTTTGGTGAAAGTGAATAAGGATGTGTTATTTACCCCTTCCGGTAACACAAGAACCAGGGATCACCCAATAACATTAATAGGCAGCAGGTTTAAAACAAACATAAGGCAGTACTTTGTGCAACGCAGTCCACCTGCAGAACTCATTGCCAGGGGATGCTGTGAAGGTTCAAAAAAGAACTAGATAAGTTCCTGGAGGATAGGCCCATCAATGGCTATTAGCTAAGATGGCCAGGGATGCAAGCCCATGCACTGGGTGTCCCTAAACCTCTGACTGCCAGAAGCTGGGACTGGACAAAGGGGATGCATCACTCAACGATTGCCCTCTTCTGTTTATTCCCTCTGAAGCATTGGGCACAGGCCAGCGTTGGAAGATAGGATACTAGGTTAGACGGACCATTGGTCTGACCCAGTCTGGCCGTTCTTATGTAGTACTCCTACTCCAGGGTCTATGCACCGACCCTGGGAGCGCCGCCTGCATATCTTGTGTGGGACAGGAGCAGTTCAATGATGATCGCAGCCTCCCCGAGGGGAGTGCCT